CTTTCCCTTCCTCTTCTGTTTAGAAACAGGTATGAATAAGTACTTTATATGTACAGGTTTAATTGGTAAAGGTATGGAAATGAGTTGTCTTTGACAGCAAAATCCATTTCTCTGGGGAATGATATTTGAATATTTGCATTCAGTATCTTCAGCTTGCATTAAGATTAAGCAAAACTAAAACAACCAATCAGGAGTTTGCCAAATATGTTTGCTTATTGAGAATTCATTGTATGTTTTCTAAATGTTAAAATTATCTAATGTATTAACGCTCTTCTACATCTTTAATCTTATTACTACTGATGGTAGTTTTGTTTGCATCAATTTGCATAAGGCTTTATTAATTACATCCAGTTGGGATCCAGAGATGTCTGTGCAAAAATAGTAGTTATCATCTAAGTTACAAAATATATAAAATTTCATTTGAGACCTTTCGGTAATTTTAATTTTTTCCCCAAGGAATAGTAGTTTTCATATCGATTATTAGAATACTGAGATTGCATTGTAATATCAAAATTTCCCAACTGTTTTTTTCATTGGAATACATTAAATGTTGTGCAAAATATACACCCTCCCAGAATATACTGGATTCAGAAGAAACAATAACACTTTACAGGCTTAAAGTAAAAAAGGGCAAATATTGTAAAACACAAATTAGATATGAACATTTAAATGCAGTTATATCTTATATACAATGTAAGTTCACTGTTGACTCGGTACTACTTTATCGCATAATATCCGATTATGCAACAACTTATTTTACACATCAGACTAAAATAAATCAAAAAATGCAATGCAAAGTAGAGTCTGTTTCTCTGAGATATACATACTTCCAGATCAAAGCCATCATTTTTCATGCTAGTGATAAGCTTATAGTCATGCATTTGGAAGGGTGTGGGTTGTTCACATGAAAATACAACAATATATTGGCAGAAGTCACATATCATTCTCAAGGATGTCTATTTCTTTAAGTTGTTGATACTTAATTCTGAGGCACATTCATAATTATTCAGAAGTACATGGTGAATTTGTATGTTCAAACCTACAGAAGATATATGTTTATCAAATTAACAAAGAAGATACAATCAATTAAGACATATTAAAGTTATGCCTTTTTCTGCATGTTAATTTTCTGTAAAAGACAGCACAACTACCACATAAATTGGTAAGCTTTATGCAGAATTCAGGATGTACAAGGTGAGATAAAAGTCAGATCTACTGTTGCTTTGGGAAGAGAGAGTTCAAGGATTTGGTCAGAGGTGGGAAAATCCACAGGTCTTCCCCCTTTTGTATGTCTGCTTTGTTGGAGATTATATTAAAATGTCTTTCTTCTGCCGGAATCTTTATCTGTCTGTCTTTATTTTTCTTCTTCTTACTCTGTTATATGTAAACATTGTATTAAATGTACACTGAATTAATGTTTATACAGCTTTGTTCAGGAGAGCAGGGCCACCATCCCGCCTCCATCCAACCCAGCTAGCTGGAGAAGAGCCAGAGGTTCCAAACCGTTGCCGGGTGAAGCAGCTGTCTTTTTCGGATTTCAGTAAAATCCCTATTATGGTGAATTTATTTGAAGGTAGCCAAAAAAGAATTACCAGTACAACAGCTCATTTTTTTTTTGACATTGAAGCATTTTCAATAGCTTTCAGTAACCGGTTAAGAGAAGGAACTCAGCGCTATCCTGATATGATCTATGTGGCAGTGCTACTACTTGATGATTGCATATTCAGTGTTTTGTTCTCAGTTTGCCACACATCTAACTCACAGAGAGAAAAGATTGCTTGCTCTCCTGTTTCAAAATTTTCTAGCCTTTTTTTTACAATGTTGTAAAGTTGGTGTGAAATTCAATCACTATCAGCAAATACCTGATTGGCAGAATGGTCTGAGATTAAGATTATACCAAACATGCAAGAAGAGCTTGGACAATAGTGCATCCAATAATAGAAAACTCTATAAATATATAAAACCATATAAATAAATATAAATGTTTTCTTGCTTCTTTTGGAAATTTTCATAATATCACGTGGACAGAAAAGATTGTTCATTCAGTACATAATAGTCTTAAGAAGCAAAGCATACACTTTTTTTAAAAACTGCCTCCATTCTTCAAAGGTTGCCTCTTGGGTTCATAGGAAAATTCAGGTTGGAAAGGACCTCAGCAGGTCTTTAATTTCACCTCTTGGTCAAAACAGCATCAGCTATGAGATCAAACC